TATTTCTATGGCAAATCCTTTCAGGACCCCGCCATTCGCCGAAAACCGGCAGTCCTCTCAAAGAAATTTTTCGACCGGGTCAGTCGAAAACTACTACGAATAGAGCAATTGCTGTTATTGCTGAAATCAGTTTCTGAAGATAACCGGTTCTCTCAAAGTGAGCAACAACACAGCGACATCTTGACGAAGTTCAAATCGCGGGTCATAAAACAAGTCAGTGTCAGTTATTTTACGCTGTCCTTGAGGACGAATTCGACCACCCACTAGGCAGAATATCATACGAAACTTCAATCATTTGCCCAGATACTGTATTTCACAGGAAATAACTATCATGCTATTAAAAGACCAGGGAACGATGAATTTTATGAAGTAAACGAACATCCTTGACCTTGATGGATTGCTAACTTACATGACCTTCCTAATGGTATGAATTGAATCATAACATTGATTGATAACATATTTGAATAGCATACAGACGCAAGGCATGATTCGAAAGTATAAGCAACACCATCACCATACTCCGAGTCTATCAACAAAGTCTCTTGTCGATATATCATCATTCGAGTCATATGTGCATGACAGAGGTCAGCATTACCTAGACAAAAACAGTTCCCGATTCGTAGTCGCAAGACGGACAGTTTGAATTCGGGCGAAACTGCTCGCCATAAGAGACAAATAAACTATTATGACTATGTGGGAGCGGAGCTAAAGACTATATTGTATACCATGCTACACTGTTTAGCTGTAGATGCTGCTTTCAAAAAAACGACACTGCTGATCGGTGACATCGCACAAAAATCAACGCCGAAGCAAAACTTCATTAATGAATGTTGTCATAAGTAGCGTCAATCATGGAATAGTGGCATCAAGTTCGGAATCCCATTGCTACAAATAGTTCATCCATTTTTGGGTCTTATTTTTGTGTTTGGCCAAAGCTGCTGCTGCTTGTGATCAACCAAGGTTTGGAGCCAATCCTGAGCATGCTACGACACACAGAACAAGAATCAAATGTCATCATCTCTTGAAAACTACCATATTTCATCATACCTTCTTTGGAAACAAAAATGAATCATGGTCTCAAACTCTTTCATCAGAGTTTATGATAAAAGCATTCTTCTCTCAAACAATGCTCTCCTGTAGATATAAGTAGATTTATAAACTTCCGGCTACCACCGTCTCGTGAGTGGACATTCCAGAGTATATTCTCAGTTTTACAAATCTCTGGTCACTGCACGAATTTCAACCCCTCTGCAAACAGACTACCATGAGCAACAACACCTATATGATAATAGCGAATAAGTTGAAAGTGGCTGAATGATTTCACCTAAATTGGGCAGTATGTTTTGAAAAGCATATATGAATATAACAATCTTTGCAAATCCTATCAAGAGTTCTTGGTCAAAGTTCGAAAAAACCGGACTCACGCAGTTTCTAACAAAACTTTGGTTTCCAAATCTTCCAGTTCTCCGTTCGAAAGTTAAACAGCATTTAATGCCATTCATCCATTGAAAAATGTTGCTTCCAGGTGTGCGAATTACAGTTTCAGCAAATACTGGCCGAAAATCGAAAGGTTCTACAGGCCTGATTAAAGACTATGGCTAAATTCCAATTCTAGCCTATGCGAATGCTGGAGGCCATGCATGTAGCAAACTTGGGTGTCTAACACCGCAAAGCACATTGTAATCAACTTGCTG